ACCCTTTGCGGTCAGCCCTCCTCTCAGTCGACCTCCCCACTCGGTCACCCTTTGCGGTCAGCCCTCCTTTTAGTCGGACTCCCCCTCCCCGGTCGACCTCTCACAACCCCGTTTTCTATCTTATTCCCTTCGTTGGATTGATGTTGCACTCGGGAATGGGGGACTACTGACGTAGGTGGGCCTACAAGGACTGTTGACCCACCATTTAGGACCCAATACACAATTCAATCACTAAAGCCCAACATTGCTGTGGCCCAGTGTTACACCTAGGACCAATGGCATCAGAACACCTGTCAAGAGAAGAATCAACCACATAAGTAGACAAAAATCCTGCAAAGTTATTACACCACACATCAGCCATTGATGAGCTTCACTTCAGCATTTAATGCGATAACCCCTTCACGTCCGGGCAGAACGGCTTCACCATGAGATAGAATGGTGTAGGTCGAAGCACGCGAGGAAATGATGAGCAAAGGATATAAGCAGGTTTCTAAGACAAAGAAAAAGTTAAGTTCTCTATCACCATTCTATCTCTATACACCGTCATCTCCTCCCTTCTCTAACTTGATCGTCAGAGAGTTCGCTGGGGGACTCCCCATTCCCCGTTAAACTCCTGTGCAGGTCTCTCTGGGGGGCATCATATTCGGATACCAGTTTGGGCAGCGTAAATCAATCCGACCCGTTCCACCTGGAACTTGCCGTATCATCAAAATGAATTAAAGCTTTAAAGGAGTTCAATGTCAACATTATGAAACTTACTATATTATCTCTAAATCTCAAGTAGTTCAACTTAAGTCACGCTAGATTATTTGATGTATAATGCTGTTCAATGATGTATAATATAGTAAGTTTGTTGCAAAAACACAATAGCATTGGGGTAAATTATGTTTGGTCCCTTTCACGTCTGGTCAATCTTTGAATTTGGCCCTTAATTTTTTTTTCTCACTTTGATTTTTCATGCTTTAATTTATTTATTTATTTTCTAATTTACTCTAAAAGTTAACTTATGTCTAAAATTAGATAAAAATTTATATATTGACAATCACGTGATATAAAAAATATATCAATTTTAGTCATGGTATACTAATTTTTGCCGACTAAAAGAAATTTAATCGCCAAATAACAACCATAATTTTATTGTTAATTTTTGGCAACCAAAAATTTAGTCGGCAAATATACAGTTTTGGTAACTAAAAAACATTTAGTCACGATATACTCACTTTTTTCGACAAAAAGAATTTAGTAGCCAAATAATCCAACTTATGGCAACTAAAATACATTTTAGTTGCTAAAAGGTTTATAAAATGGGAAATGACTTAGGCCAAGTTTGGGAAGACTAAAAAAGTGCACTTTTTGTCTTTTTAGACTAAAAAATTGAGGTTGAAAACATGGATGTTTGGGTTAACTTTTTGACTTTTTATTGAAAAATGTGTAATAAAAAATTGTAAAAATTGATTTGTAGGGAAAAATTTGAATTGGGAGTTGTGCAGCCGTAATTGTTGACTTTTGGTGAATAGTGTTAACTTTTTAACTTTTTGAGTAACTTTTTGACTTTTTGACTTTTTTTGAAGTCCCCAAACTTGGCCTTAAGATTGGGGCCCAGATTTTCTTTCATTCTGCTTAGGAATACAAACAGTTCTTCTCTTCCTCTCCAGAGAAACATAAAAGGCCAAAGTGGGAAACGAAAAACTTTAAGAACCAAAGTAAAAAAGAAAAACCAAATATGAAGGGGACAAAATGTAATTTATCTTATTCTCATTATTGTTAAATATGCTACTTCCATTGTTACAAGATTTTAATTTCAATAGTAAGAGAATGCATGAGCAGGATAATCATCATACAGTTGTTAAGCAACAAGTGGTAAGATTTTAAAATTCTTGCTAATGTCACAATTTGTGCTCATAATTAGCATTTGCATTATTTTATTTCAAATAATACCTAACTCAACATGAATTTTAATCTAGCTGTCCAAGTTCGTTGCCAATTATATGCTACTAATTCTTGGGATTACTCTTTGATTTCTCTTATTTGTAATTTATTTAGTTAAAATTTGAACTCACATGCTTAAGGAGTTGTAGATGAAAAGTTAAGTTACTTGGTTGTACTTTTTGAATTTTCACTTTATTTAAAGGGAAAATTACATAACAAAAATTATAAATTTTTTTCATTAATGTGTAATAATTTTGAAAAATCTATCCTGAATAGTAATTTTGCCTAATTTAAATACTCAAAATAAGCTCAAGCACCTTTGTTTGGTTTAATTTTTCAAAAATTATTTTGACAGTTTTCATTTGTCTTTACTTAACTTTTTTCATATTTTACTTTTTTTTTTTCACTTTTTAAATACATCTAGATGCATCTAAAAAAAAAAAAACTAAAATATGAAAAGAAATTCACCAAAAATAAAGAAAAATCTAAACAAAAATACACAGATTTTTGTTTGAACTTTTGTCTATTTTAAATATTTTTTTGATATTTCAATCAATTTATTTTATTTTTTAGATGCATCCAGATTAGATGTATCTAAAAATACAAAAAAAAAAAAATCTTATGAATTTTTTTTTTTTTTTGCAAAAAATAAACAAAATCCATTTAAATGCAAATTTTGAAAAATCAAACAAATTAAAATTTGAGTTTTAGATTTTTGTAAAGTTAAAAAATCATATATTTTCACGTGTTACATCTAATCTAACTGGATGACTTTAGAGCCCTATTTGTTTTCAGAGATAGAATGGAAGAGATTCATAGTGAGAGGATTAAGTAAAATTGTGTTTGTTTTGATGTTAGTTATTAGTTTAGGTATTGTTAAATTACTTTTATATAAAATAAAAAAATAAATAAAAAATACAAAAACATTAAACATTAATGTTAAAAAAAAAGGCCCAACATGTAAAAAATAAATAAAATAAATAAATTTTTTTTAGTCCAAAAGACTATTTTTTTAATATCATCTCTACCTCCTCCATCTCAATCTCTCTTCCAAGACCCAACCTAATCCTTTGTTCCATCTTAATTCCTTCCCAAAATCTACAAATAAACACAATATTAAATCAGTCTCACCTACATTCTAATCACATCCCTTCCCCTATATATCCGAAACAAACGGCGCCCTAGGTGTCCAAGGGCTAGCAGCTAGTTCCAAGTAGGTTACTTGAATGAGCTCGTAAAGTTGTTTTACATATTAATAAATGAGTGTCTCTGAATTTGGGAGTTACTATTTCCGGTTGATGGTATGACACAGACTCTTTAAATTATGTGAATTATATGCTGAAAACATATGTATTTTATAATTTTAAAAAATAATATAATTTTAATTTTTAAGTCATAATTAAAAAAATATTATAATTAAACACATTATAAAGTATAACTAAAGAATTAATGAGTCATAATTAAAGAAAAAAATAGTATAATTAGGAATACATATAACATAACATTTTTAAAGGGATGTATATTAGAGTTTCCCATTATATGCGCTCTCAATCTTATGGTATATATTAAGTATTTTTATGGTCAATATTATATTTTTTTAACAGAGTTACCATAATTTGTGTTTCACAAATAAAATTACGCATTTTTGTGATAATGTTACATATTTTTTTATTAAAAAATCTTTGGATAAAAAAAATATATAACATTATCATAAAAATGCATAATATTACCACAAAATGCGTAATTTTATTTTTGAATTATAAATTATCTTAACTTTACCAAAAAATTACATAACATTTACTATAAAAATTAGTAATACATTGAGAGACTTACGTGTAGGTTCTACTAAGTGGATTTATTGTTTAATAGGTTCTATGATAATTAATGACATTTTTCATCATACACTATTAAAAAACGTCATTAATTATTAATTTTCAATAATAATTTGAAAATTTTATCACAAAAAATGTCACTAATTATAAGTTTTAGTTATAGTTTAAAAAATCGTCAAAGAAAGGTCACTAATTTTCAACTTTCAACAACAGTTTGAAAAATTCGTCACAGAAAAGCGTCACTAATTGTAAGTTTTAGCGATAATTTATTAAAATCATGACAAAAAAATACTAATTGTTAATTTTTAATGACATATAAAAAATCGTCACAAAAAATTATTTTTAGCTACGATTATACTAAGACCTATTTTCAATAGAATTTAATAAGAATTAAATTCAACTATTAGGACCTATTGATAATTACTCTAATATTTTATCACAAAAATACATAATAAAATGGATATATAATACACACTCATTAAGAGTTGTGTATCATAGAATTTCCCTACTATTTCCACACCACATTATTTTAGTTCACATATTTAATTTTTGAATTTTTTGTTTAGAAGTTAATTCTTAAATAAATTTCATTACTTCAGAAATCTGCTTATGAACCAAAGATAAGATCAAACCAAATAATTTTGTTCAAAAATCGATTTCTAAATTAAATAATTTTATTTTAAAGTTAAATTTCGAACCAAAAAGATGCATCCACTGAGAGAAAATCATTCGTAGAAACAGAAGCTCCTGAAAGCTGTCAAAAATGGTTTTATCCTTTCGATGTCTATTTTGACAGGTAGAGAGATAAGAGTTAATGGTGGTTGGTGTTTGAGAAGGACAATGTTACTTGAGAGGTTTGACAAGGACTGTGCTCAGCTTTTCTTAATAAAGCAATAGGGACAACCTCAGTGCAACATAGCATTTAATATGGAGTTCGGATCTTCTGTCATACATTCCTGCCATACATACAAAACGACGTCGTTTTGTATTAATTTTTTTTTTTTTTTTTTTTTTTCAAAATGTTTTTACGTTGCTTCAGAACTGTTTAGAACCCTAGGGGTGTTGCTTCAAAACTCAGACGAATTGAGAGTAGAGGCAACACGACGAGGAGAGGAGAGGCAGCGGTGAGGCAAGGGGAAACGACGGCGACGACGGCGACGACGGCGAAACGACAGCGACGAGGTACGTTCGTCTTCAGGATCATTTTTCTCCCTTCTCCCTTCGTCTTTTATGTATGACATTTAATTAATAGTTTTGTAAAATGTGAATGCTTTACTTTTACAGAAGATTGCTAGTCGTAATTCTAAAAATCGAGAGCTGCGTGGTCCAGTGCATAGGACCGGGAGAACACCCTTTGCCGATGTACGACATAAGGTAATGATTTGTATTAACAATTATATAAAAATTAACTAAATGCTAACTCTTATCTGTTTGGCAATTTTAGATGATGACTGATGGAGAGAGCACTAACAAAATGAGTGTCTTCATGAAGACACGCATGATAACTGATCCAGATGTGAAATTATTTTTGGTATGGGCCTTTGCATATTGGTTTAATATTTTTTTTAACTGTGCTATTTGTATACTAATATCTTTAAATATTAGGATGAGTATAATGAGCAACTCTCAATGATAGACGAGCCCCTCAGGACAGAAGAGGTACAAGATAAGATTTTCCATAACCTAGTAGGAAAGGATGGACACGGATATTGCAAGACTTATGGGATAGGTGTGCCTCGAAGTGCAGTGTACAAAAAAGATGTCAGTCCATCACAAGCATCCTCATCATCGACTGTTGAGGAGATCACTCAACAAGTACGCCAAACAGTTACTGAAGAGATCGAGCAAAGGCTGACGGTTGAGATTGAGCAAAGGGTCACTGAGAAGTTGAAGGCAGAGTTCGAGCAAGTTAGAGCTTGGATGGACTTCATAAGGTCCCAAGGTGGCCTAAGTGGTATACAGGTGGAGTAAAAATGACTAACTGAATAACTTGGGCAATTTGTTTGTTTTTCTTTTCTTTTCTTTTCTTTTCTTTTCTTTTCTTTTCTTTTATTTCTATGTATCATATTTAATAAAATGGTATTGGTGTTGGTTATATAGCTTCCAAATGCCTCTAGTGGACGTCAACAAGTCAGGAAGTCTGTAGGAGATCATGATAGTCAAGATGATGAGTTGTTGGGTTCTCCTGTGCAGGTATCTCTATTACATAATGTAATATTCACAATCACACGCAATTGAGGTTAAGGGTTAGCCTACTGAAAACCCGATTTAGTGTTATTGTTGCTGTTGAACCTATTTTCCTGATGTTGAACCTAAAGTAAGACTGATTAGTGTTGAACCTATTTTGCATTTCTTAATAGTGTTGAACCTGTTTTGCATTCGTTTTGAGCAGCCATCAACATTTAATTTCAGCTTTCCTACAGGTGGACAAAACCATTTGATTAGTCTAGGATGAGAGGGATTCGAGTGGAGGATAGATTGGAAGGCCTCATCAATCTCATGGACATAATTTTTCATGTTCTTAAGACTGATTTGAATAGGGGTAATTTGGCTTTCAAAAACAAATTTGTTTCAATCTTTTCATAACTGTCAAAGGATAACAATGAAAATAGTGTATAGTTAGCAGATGAAATTCTAGATCCAATTCCAATCTCCATTGCTCATGTCCTGATTAGCAATTTATAGTTAGCAGCAGTGAACTTACCACTAGTGGAACCAACCTAAAAAGGAGCATTTGTAAAGGTCACAAATATGGGCCTATTTTATTTTGAGAATTTCTAGTACGGTTCAAGAGCACACCTAGTTTTCCAGCACTTCAATGTCCCAATTGCCTTCACTGTCCAGCACTGAGCTAGACAATTTGATTATAATCTAGACAATTTGATTATATTCAGTGAGGCCTAATAGTATAGCTAGGGAGTGTTTTACTAAAATTGAGTTTATGACTTGGTGAAGCTATATATATATTATATAACCTACTATTTGATTTAATTTGTTATAATGACATGTCAACTTGATTTTGAGTCATGTGGCACGCTTCATAATGATTTTGATTTAGAAATTAAAATTATAGTTTTTCACGTCCTTGACTTAAGATAACAATTATTGGGAGTTTGCAAATCAAATTAGGTTTGATATCTCATCATTTTTTTTTGTCTAGATTAAATACCCAAAAAAAAACAAAAAACATAAACATAAACAACAAAACATTGTCTTATAACAAAGTGTGTCCATGTCTTGCTTTTTCTGTGTTTTTTTTAGTGAGTATCTTGTGCATGGTCAATGTCATATGTATGATTAAGTTGATGTTCCAACCCATTACCTAAACCTCACGACAATACATATAAATCAAATATAATATATATATATATATATTATATAAAATAAACAGTGATGGTAATTTTGTTTTGGTTTTTGTTTTCAGGTTTTGCATGAAGACTGATAGATGAATTAATGGTGGCATGGAAGCTAACTTTATTTTTGGACATATTATATTATGGCTTGAGATGTCAAGCTTTTTGTACTTAATATTTATAACATATTGCTACCATACTTTTTGTATTGATGTAACAAATTTTTTGTTAATATTTTGATGTCAATGAAGCTAAGATGATGACTGAATTTGTATAAATATTTTTGGTTTTTGAATGAATGAATGAATGAATGTCTATTGATTGAATGCATTTTTTTTTATTAGATTTCAATGAACATAATACAGGTATTAATTACAAAAAAGAAATAACTTTTTTATGAAAATATTTTTTTTTTTTTTTTTTTTGGTGACGGCAACTAACAGTCTCAAAAAACCTATGCAATGTACAGGTGAATTTTTTTAGAGTCGGCACATTGCAGACACAAAAAACTCTATAGCGACGGTAATGTACCGACATAAATAATAGTAGTGATTTTTTGGTCTTTTTTGTGACGGCAGGATACCGTCTCAATTAATACATTTTGCCGTCGCAAATATTCTGTGACGGCACAGTTGCCGACTCAAAAAGTTTTAGCGACCCCCGTACTCTCGTCCCTCACCATGCCGTCGAAAGGCCGTCGCAAAAAGTTTTTGCGACAGCAATTATGTTTTTTGCGACAGTAACCTGCCGACTCAAAAAGTATGTTCTCTTGTAGTGCAAATATGATTCTTAATTCACATTAGAATACAATTTTTGAAGAAAATTTATAAAGAAATGTAGTGAAAATAACAACTACAACTGTCATGATCATTAATTTTACCAATTACAAGTACAATTATGAAAAGATCTTTTGTTTCGATGCAATAAGTGATGGTTTTTAATTTATTCAAAGTGATGCTTGAATGAATGATTATTTGGCCATATATATATTTTTTGATGAGGGAGAGGGGAATGAATGTATTTGATAGCATAAGTAATAAGGTTTCTATACAGAGATTTTAAAAAATAAAACTTGTGAACAATTATGTTAGTGTAGACCTTTGTTTCATTTTGTTGAAGTATTAATGTCTCAACTTTTGTTTTATATGTGATTTATTAAGTTCAAATTATTTTGTTGATATGATTGAAAATATATAAAATTATAATGTAAAATTTGATTTTGATATAGGTCGTGTCGACTATATATTAACATATATATTAACATAATAATATTGATGACAGTCGTTAAATGACTCCACTGACCAAAAATCTTGACAATGCCACTGGTCATGAGCTTTTCTTTTTAATATATTTACCATGTAATTCCAAAAAAAAAAAAAAAATTAAAAAATAAAAACAAATGCAGCTTACTCGACTCCGCAAAAGAAACAAAAAAAAGTGCATTTTTTCTTATCTTAATGATCGCGGTTAGCTTAATAAGCAAAACTTATAACCTCATTAAAATGTCACAAGTTGACTCGCCCTTCTTCTCAATATACCAAAATAATAATAATAATAATTGTTACATTTTCACTTTAGTAATGTAGTTGTGTTCTTATCACGTTGTTGCTATTGCTTTTGTGGCTAGCAGATATGAGAAGTTTGCTCTCACCCATGAATATGCTAAATAGCCAACCTGTTGGCCACCCATTATTTATTTATTTATTTATTGGAAAAAAAAAAATTAGGAAGACGATTAAAAATTGATTTTTTTAAATTTTTTTTTTTTTTTGAAAAAATGTGTAAAAATGTGAGAAATAATGTAACCGAAAATGGGTTAAAAATTGACACATAACTTTTAACAATTTTTCTAAAATAGCCCTAAATATGCCATGCCGGTAGTTCAGTTATCAAAGGTCTTGGAATATACCTAAACTTGGTTAAATTTGGCGAGTATTCAAGGTTTATTTTGTAAGGATGGATCTAAAGTGATTTACAATATATGTTGAATGTTTTCAAAATAAAATATCTTAAACATGTTCAATTGTGTATTTATTTTCTCCACCATTTGGGTAAATTACCAATATATCTTAATAATTTGACTTAATTCCCATCAAGTCTTATTGAAAATAAGTTATACTAAAATTATCACTAAAAATAATTTTTTGTGACCATTTTTTTATATATGTCGCTAAAAATTGACAATTAATGACTTTTTAATCACGATTTTTATAAATTGTCACTAAAACTTATAATTAGTGATGTTTTTCTATTACAAATTTTTAAACTATCGCTAAAAGTTAAAAATTAGTGACTTTTTTTGTGACGATTTTTTTAAATTGTTGCTAAAATTTATAATTAGTGACTTTTTTAGTAACAAAATTTTCAAACTGTTACTGAAAATTAATAATTAGTGACGGTTTTTAATAGTGTTTGATGAAAAATATCATTAATTATTATAAGACTTATTGAATAAGTGTACGTATTATGAGCTACACGTAAGTCCCCATTTTTATTTTTTATACTTTCATAAATAAAAACAGTGAGAAGTTTGAAAACATCTATCATTTTTTATATAATTTTTATTTTCATACCATATATATATATTTGTAATCATCTCGTCAAATGATTTTTGTTTATTTTTAAAAAAAATAAATATATAAAACAAATACATAACCCAACATGTTGCTTTCCACAAATGTAATGGTTTAAAAGGGTGAAGCACTAATAAATCCTTATATATGATTTTATGAAGTATTTAGTTTTTCCTTTTTTCTTATGAACTGTAAAGTTCCATTAAACTGGAATTACACAAGAGGGTAGTCACTTACACATGTGAGTTTAATTTTTTAGGGATAAAAGTAGGTTTGTCCAAATGCGAAATTGCACATTTAGACAATCTACACAATAGAGGTTTTGGATTTTTCCTCCTTGTGAAACAAATCCTACATTACGAACAAGAATGCAACACTCCAATATAATACTCCAATAAAGTAACACTCCAATGTAACACATTAAAAAATTCTTTAATGTACTTTTTCCAAATGTAACAAAATAACACTCCAAACTTTTTCCAAACATAACAATTCAATGTAACGCACTCTAATGTAACACACAAAAAAACTCCTTAATGTACTTTTTCCAAACGTGATACTCCAATAAATGCAATCTCAAATGTAATGCTCTAATATAACACACACAAAAAAAACTTCTTAGTGTACTTTTTCCAAACGTAACACTCCAATCAATGTAATATTATCAGCTTATTTTTCTTATGAAGGAAAATATCATAAATGCGAGTGTGCCAATAAGGATTAAAAAATCTTTACAGATTAAATTCAAGCTAATTATCAAGTGATTGTGTTAACAGTTCTTTTGCCTCAATGAAGAGGATTTCAAAATTGTCAAGTGTAGAGAAAAGAAAAATTAATAGATGAATGAGGGAGACGAAGAAAGATGATTGAGTGAACAATCGGGGTGATTGAGTGAACAATCAAAGTAACAATTACTTACCTCTACTCCTAGCTTTGAAAAGGAAGTGCATAAAATGCTTCAAAAAAGAAGTGCTGAAAATAAATGTTTCAAAAATGAAGTGCATAAAATAAATGCAAGAAATATAAATGACAAAAAAAATAGAAATCAATTGTCTTTGATTTGAGTTATGGCTCCATTTACAATGTAACCATGGATGGCTATTTATAGGCAAACATTTGTAAGAAAAAACTACATAAAACTACCCACTCTTCCATCTCCTCCATTTCATACTCCATGATTTTCCATAACTTCCTTCAACCTCCACTTCATGCTCCATGTTCTTCACTTTGTTCTCCATCATCTTTCTACATTTCATAACTTCTCATAACCTCTAAATGAGTAGGAGGGTGCCACATGTCCTACAATTATATAAATAATAAATATTAAAATTACAAATTTATGGTGCCAACGTTACCCCCTGCGGCCATTAAAAATGATGTTTACTTGAATTTTTGAAGGGCCGAGCCAAGCACATGACTAATCTAAGCAATAAAGTGCTTCGAATAATATCAACAAAATGTTTCGAATGATATAATAGCACCAATAAAGTGCTTCGAATGAGTATGATATTATGGCTAGATGTCTTGAATTATATATATGCCTTGAAGGGATATTACATATGTGCTTCGAATCGGCATCAATCCTTTGAAGGAAATTAAACAATTTTGTTTTATTCGTATTTCAAACACATAGAAAACTTGAAGCCTTTTGAAGTAGGTTGATGTTGCTTGCACTTAGAATCATTTAGAACCTCATATTTTCATGATTCACCTTAACAAGCTGTTTTATAGACTAATAACAAGCTTCGAATGTGGTATAGAGGACCAAAATCATCATTCGAAGGTCGAAAGTGTCGACAAAGAATGAATTACATCATTGGAAATACTCGGCAAAGTTTTGAAGGTTCACAACCACTATTATTGTTTCTTCGAAACTGTTGTTGATGCAAGATGGAGTGCTTCGAAGCTTACAAAATTATAGCAAAAGGGGCTTTCAAAGCAATTTTTGGCCAACATTGTAGTTGTTCAAATTTTGTATGTTCTGGTTCACATATAGTTAATGAAAATATTAATTTTGTGTTTCGAACCAATTATTAATTCTCTGAAGACACCAAAACCATTGTTCTTCGAACCAGCTTTTGTAGAATACTAGTTAGATTTTCATGTAACAAATGGCTACAAAAATGTTTATCAGTAAAAGTCACTAATTATCATGCCAAAAATAGACATTATTTGATAATTAATTAAATGCCATTTTACATATATTTGATGGGAGATACACATTTCGAAAGCTTTCTCGTCCCATATTACATTTCGAAGGTGTTTATTAATGACAAAACTACCATTCAAAAGTCACATATGTTACTAACGGATCAAAGTCGTCATTCGAAAGTTCTCACGATATCTCTTCGAACCAAATCCAAAGAGTTGGATTACTATAAAATTAGTTTGGCATTTTAACTAGCCATTAGTGACTATAAAATGATATTTCAATGAATACATATAACAACACAACCATTTATCCTTTGAAAAGAGGTTTAACAACCCTCACATGTTCTTAATAACATGCTTCAAAGTGTCTTGGGATATACTTCGAAGGCAACCACAAAACCAAATAGTGATGATTTTATGGATCAACTAATAACCATATATATTGCAATAACAAAATATTATTTGTTAGCAATTCCATCAAAGTCAACGTTTGATGCGATCCACAAACCCAAAATAAATTTTGAACCACCAAAGTTATGGTATAGTGTGACCATGAAAATGCATACTTTTTGACACTTTGAAAAATGTCAA